ATAATACCATCCTGAATTGCATCGCGGAGATAATAGCAATCAACCTCAATGTGTTTAGTACGCTCATGGAAGATCGGATTCCGCGCAATATACAATGCGGATTGACTATCACAAAATAAACTCATTGCACGGGGATGCGCGACACCCAAACTTAGAAGAAGAGCCTTCAACCACTTCAATTCATCAGTGGTTTTAGACATTGACCGAAATTCAGCCTCAGCAGAAGACTTAGCCATAGTGTCCTGTTTCTTAGTCTTCCAAGATATAGGGGAAGCACCAAGAAATACCAACCAACCAGAGATAGATCGTCTCGTGAGAGGAAAACTAGCCCAATCCGAGTCACACCAACCTGTAATATGTAGATCACATTCAGAGCTTAAAAGGATTCCCTGTCCCGGACATCCTTTCAAGTAACGCACCGTACGAAGAGCGGCCTCCCAACGATCCTGACGCGGTTGTTGCATAAATTGAGACAGGATATGAACCGCATAAGCTAAATCAGGTCTCGTGAAAGATAAATAGATCAAGCGACCCACAAGACGACGATACATTTCAGGATCAAAAAAGAAAGAAGGCTCTGATTTGGCCAAAGTATAATTCTGCTCAATAGGTTTACCTGCCGGTCGTGCCCCTAGCAAACCAATCTCTGCAATAATATCAAGATTATATTTCTGTTGACATAAAAATAAGCCCTCCGGACTACGTGCAACCTCAATGCCAAGAAAATATTTCAACATACCCAAATCTTTCATATGAAAACAGTCATTCAAATAAGATTTGAATGAAGAAATTGCAGAAGAATCATTCCCTGAAATAGTCAAATCATCAACATATACACCAGAACACTAAGTTGAATAGTCCTAGATTGCAGAGTAAAAAGGGAGTAATCAGAGTACGATTGGGTAAAACCGTACCTTTTCAGAGAAGAGGCCAACTTAGAGAACCAACAACGAGGTGCTTGCCGTAATCCATATAAGGACTTGAGAAGATGACAAACTAACCCAGATTGAGAACCATGAAAACCAGGTGGAAGCTTCATATAAACCTCCTCATCAAGATCACCATGTAGAAAGGCATTATGAACATCCATTTGGTGCAATTCCCAATTTTTCGCAGAAGCCACCGCAAGAAAAGCACGAATAGTAACCATTTTTGCTACGGGAGCAAACGTCTCGTTATAATCGATACCCTCAAACTGATGATTACCGAATATAACAAGACGAGCCTTTAATCTTTCAATTGTGCCTTCGGAATTAAGCTTGACCTTGTATACCCAACGACACCCCAATGCTTTCTTTCCCGGAGGCAACTCTTCCATCACCCATGTTTTATTCTTTTCAAGAGCAGAAATCTCCTTTTGCATTGCCTCTCTCCAACCATCGTGTTTCATAGCCTCATTAAAATTACGAGGCTCAACAATCGAATCCACAGCTGCAATAAACACACGATGTGGCACAGAAAAGTAATTACAATTCACAAAATGTGCTAAGGGATAAGGAGTACTTGAGGAGCTTGGAGTAGACGGTGAACAAGGAGAGATAGATGGACTGTCAAGAGTAATAGTATGTGCGACGTAGTCGCGATGCCAACCCGGAGCTTGCCTAGCCCTTTGACCATGGCCTAGGTCCGGTATAGGAGTAGTAGAAGAGGTCGGAGCAGCCACGTTTGGGGTCGTGGTGCTGTTGTCCGAACCAGCAGTTTCTGCTGCTGTGTGAGCCGCGTCAGCAGCAGCCGTAGGTGGCCTGCGGTGGGGGTTGTTGTCCCGAGCAGTAGCCGTAGATGTGCAGGGATGGGGGGTTAATTTTCGGGCACAAGTGACCCCTCACTCACCTCCAAAATATATTCCAAGTCCTCTAAAAAATCATGATCAACCCCAACATTTTCGTGAGACATATCCTCAACATTGTCAAGACTAGAAACCGGCTCATCCCCTTTCACAAACGGAAATTCATTCTCAAAAAAATTTAACATCACGCGAGACAAATATTTCACCGGTATCTAAATCATACAATTTCCAACCCTTCTTGCCATGATGATAGCCTAAGAACACACACTTCCTACTCTGTGGAGCAAATTTATCCCCCTTAGCCTTTTGATTATGAGCAAAGAAAAGACACCCAAACACCCTTAATTCATCAAAATTAGGTTCCTTACCAAAGAGAATTTCAAATGGGGATTTATTGGACAGAAGACGGGAGGGAGTACGATTAATTAAATAAACCGCACTTAGAACACATTATCCCCAAAATTCAATAGGTAAGTTACCTTGAAACATCAAAGCACGACTCACATTCAATATATGTTGGTGTTTACGCTCTACTCTACCATTTTGTTGTGGGGTTCCAACACAAGAGGTTTGAAAGAGAATGCCATTTTCATTAAAGTACGGGAGCATGGGTTTGAACTCCGTACCTTTATCACTCCGTACATATTTAACATGAACATCAAATTGGCATTTTATCATAGCAAAGAAAGAAAGAAAAGATGAATAAACCTCAGTTTTATCATTTAGCAAATAAACCCAAACACCTCGGGAAAAATCATCAACAATAGTCAAGAAATAATGAGCACCACAAGTAGACGGTGGTTTATACGATCCCCACAAATCACAATGAATCAATTCAAAAATACGACTAGCCCTACTATCACTATTGGGAAAAATATACCGAGATTGTTTAGCCTGTGGACAAATTTCACATGCTTTATTCAAGAATTTGCTACTAGAACTAGCACTAATAATAGCAGGCACTAACTTGACAATAGGATCTGACGGATGTCCCAAACGACGATGCCAGAGCTCAAATGTAGAAACCTCTGAAGATGTCACCGCACATACTTTAGGAAGTCGCCGGAAATAGTAAAGTCCATCTATCCGTCCACCGCCTCCAATCAGGCTCCTCGAGTGTTGGTCCTATATAGCACATAAAGAATTAGTGAATTGTACATAACAATGGGAATCATCAATCATTTTAGACACCAAAATTAAATTGCAATGTAATTGGGCAACAAATAAGACATTCTCAAGAATAATTCCGTCAGCCAAATACACACGCCCTTCTTTTGTAGCAAGAGCTTGTGTGCCATCCGGGAGGCCAACGGGGCATGATAGAATTTCTCGCATATCCACAAGTAAGATGCCTCACCGGTGACATGATGAGAGGCGCCGGTGTCGATAATCCAAGAAGAGGAAAATACTCACCTTTCATCTTTTCTTGCTAATTATTAGTAACCATGTTCAACAAAAGGCGAAGATGCTCCGGTTTAAGTTCAGATAAAGCGGAGAGAGTGTCAGTAGAGGGTACGGCAGGAGGTCCAATAGAACCACCCATGGCATTAGCATGTGCCACGGGGTTGCTAATACTTGCGGCAGCAGCGGACAGAGCAGGAGCAACAGTCGTAGAAGCAGAGGCAGAGTGCTTGCTGCCTTGTTGTGAAACAGAGGATCCCGAATGAGGTGCGCCCCCCTTCTTCCCATATTTTTCAAGCCACCAATCGGGGAAGCCGTGAAGAAGGAAGCAACCCGTATTGTCATGGCCTGAGTGCTTACAGTGAGATCAAAGAAGTTTAGCTTTATCAACATGAGCCGATTGAAATTGACGACGATCAGACGATGGAAGAGCGAATACATGAGCATCCTCCGTAGCCGCTGGGATTTTGGCTTGAGCAATAATCCGAGAGTGCTCTTCTTGCAGCAGAGCATGATAAGCGCGCTCGAGGGTAGCAGGGGGCTGTTGAGACAGAAGGTTCGTTCGAACCAAAGCATATTTAGCATCATCAATGCCTACCAAAAACTGATGAAGAATCTCCTCATCCCTATCCTTCTCATACTTCGCAGAAACTCCACAGGAACACGCCCCACACTCACAGACATGTGGTGGTTTGAGGCGCGCAAGATTGTCAAAATAACCAATCAATTGATTATAATAGTCCTCAACAGTCATATTGCTCAATTGTTTGCAATTAGTGATTGAAGCTTTTAATTGCTGCAATCGTGGTCCACTAGCTTTACAGTAACGTTTGTCAAGATAATCCCAAAGATGCTTCCATCATCGAAATAGGGAATAGAAATAGCAAGTTTCGGGTCAATAGTTCTCAAAACCAGGATACCAGCATAGAATTCACCGTATCCCAATCCAGTAATTTCTTTTTCTTAGTTGGTTTGGAGATGGTGCCATCGACGAACCCAAATTTGCGCCGAGACTTCAGAGACAGAGAAATAGCCCTAGACCATGAGAAGGTTTCCAGGCTGATCGCCGGAACCAAGATAGAAAGGGGAAGCAGGATCAATTTTGGTGTCGTCCACCATTGTCAATGAAGCAGAGAATAGAGATTAGATTTTTTTTTTGAGTTTTAGGGTTTTAGAATCGTAGTGGCTCTGATACCATGTCAAACTAGAGAGAATAGAATGAATAGAGTGTTGTATTTTGTATTACCGTATACACAAATATATATACAACCTAAGTAATTAGGGCGGAACATTACACCGGCCCATTAACGATACATAATATATGGTCCAACAGATTCTCCATTAAAGCGTGTTCAGAGCTTCCTTTGTTCCACATTAGCTGAGGTTATTATTATTATTATTATTATTATTATTATTATTATTATTTACTTATTAAATGTGAATTTCTGGATTTCCTAGTTGTGCAATTCATAAATTTCTATTAAAACTCTTGGTTTTTGTTCCTTCTTTTTATCTGCTCCACCTTTTTGTTGGCTAATTTGGTTGTTTTTTGCATCCAATTTCGTCGATTTATGTGATTGATTTTAGTGGGTGTTGCTTAATTTTGTTGGTTATTCTATAAATTTTTCTTTCTAATACTTTCATGACAAATCATGTTATCTTCATCAATTTGTTAACTAAAATTAATTTATTTTCACAAAAGTAAATTTATTTTAGTGCGTGTTGTTTAATTTTGGATTTTACTACTTTTAGACTTTGGCTTGGCACCTAACGCGTCTGTTGCTTAATACGCTATAAAAATGGAATTTTCTTTGTTTTGTTGTGAAATTAATCATGGTTCTGATAGAATCCTAACTTTTTGTCTACGAGGTGAAGAAGGCAGAGAACTAATTCTCCATTAGTTTGAAGCTCTCTTTCCTCCATTATATTGAAGAAAATTCTGAGGTATGCTGATACTTTTTTCAAAACTATCGAATATCAATTTCTCTTTTGGGTTTATCGTTAAGTTAATTGTGAGGTAAGTAAACTTTTGGTTGTTATGCTAGATTATTGAACTATGGCTATAGTAATACTTTGTTTGGATAGCAAAGAAGGAAGGAAAAGAAGGGGAGGGAAAATGGAGGGAGGGAAGGGAAAAGAAAGGGAGGGGGAGGTGATCTCCATTTTCCCTCCAAATCTCTCCAATTTTGGAGAGATTATGGTTATTATAGAGAATTGGAAAATGGATTCCTCCCTCTCCTTCCCCTTCGTTTCCTCAATCTTTTACACAAACGAGAGATTTTGTCCCCCTCCATTTCTCTCCTCTTCTTTTCCTTCCATTTTTTCCTATCAAAACAAAGTGTTAGTGTGGTTTTGAGGCCTCCTTAGATTATTTTGTTGTTTTTTGGTCTCCTTTGATGATTTTGTACATTTTGTTTGAAATTTGATGGGTTTTGATTTAGGGTTTAATTGGGGTTCATACTTTGTTTTGGGATGTAGGTGGAACTGCATCCATTTAAGGTGAGTAATTGGGATTACATCTGTGTGGAGAAGCTCAAGTATTGTGACTGTCTGGGTAATGAAAAAGGTAATTCGTTTTTCCACTTGATTTTATATTCAGTGATTGATAATTGTAATAGTTATAGATTATAAATTGGTGATGCATACGGTTTCTTGGTGGTGATGTGACGTGTTATCATGATGTAGAATTGTATGCTCGTGTTGTTTTAAAACTGATGTCACGTGTTATGATGATGTAGAATTGTAATAGTAAATTCAGAATATTATTAGCAAATTTTGGTGTAATCCTTGAAGTTTTGCTTACTTTAAGAATTTCATAGATAAATTTTTCAGCTTAGATAACCTACTCTTGGATGAGTGAGATGACTTCTTGACTCTCCTTTAAAAATAGGGACAAAAAAGTATTATGTGAAAATTTGTCAGGCACAATACCAGAACCGCCTAGTTGTGATATAAATGGAGTGAACTGATTTATTTGAATCTTTTTGAAGATATGAAGCTAAGCTTTAGAAACCAGCCCTAGAAAAGAAGCTATAGAATATCTATAGAGTATAGCTAGGCATAATGTGGCTTTTATTTGGAGGTTCCTATCTCTATTTTGGGCAGTGATACATAAAAAATCATCGTTATGGTCCACTAGGAGGAAAATTTCTTTATGCAAAGCCCTATTTTAGGTTGAATTTGGTTTTTATTTTTGTATTTTTTATGCCGAATAGCTATTATGAACTTTCAGTAGTGTAGAGGTTGTTTTGATTGTTAGCTATTGCGGGCTTGCAGATGTGTTTGAGCTCACATTTGGTGTTATAGATGATTACTAACAATTATATGATATAGTATCAAATTTTGAGTTTTGTATATTTGTATATTCATTTTAAAGTATATGTTTATGCTTTTATATTCTTCTTTCATGTAATTTAATTTGAATCTCATCATTGTTTTGGAAAGGAATTTGGTTTCAATGTGGGTCTTCGATATTGTTACCTTGACAAAAACATAATCTTTTTCCTAGGTTTTAGCCTTAGTGGTTCTACAATATGCAGAATATGGTGAATTCTACCTTTATAGATGGACATATCTAATTAATTCATTTAAAAATGGGTATTGGTGTTTCTCCATTCGTCACACAGCTATGATATAGACAATTGCGTTTAGACTCTTATATTGTTGGCCACTTACATATGACACCAATGATAGCTTCTTTCATTTTTTAAGCTCTTCTTTCTCCTTTATTGTAAATTGGAATGTAAGAACTCTTTTTCGGATATCTTTATTTATAATTTAAAAGAATGTATGAGTTTTCTGGTTTAAACATGTAATTTGTTGGATAAATGTGGAAAGGAAAGTAAATTATGATATGTGTGCTTAATTTTATGTTCCTTGTAAAAACTTTAGTAGGTCAATAGTTTACTCTTAAATTTACTTTTAGTTTGAACAATTGGAGTAATTTTAGCTTATGTTCTTCCTTTCTTGTCACAAACTCATAGAAATAATTTGAGTAAGTAGGGAGTATTTGTATTGAGGTTTTTGGATTTTAAAAGTTATGCTTTTGTAATTTGGTGTAATTGTATTATGTATATCTTATAAATTGGGTGACCTTTAAAGGTTTATGTAGTTTTTTTTGCTTGTTCACTCATTGAAATTTCAGATTGCTTACTTGATCAGTTGGGTATCTTCACCCATAGTAATTTTCATATTGCAAGTTGATTTATATTCTTTCAAACATATATATATATATATATATATATATATATATATATATATATATAAATATATATATATATATATATATATATCAGTTGCCTTACTAGATTATCTACTTTATACAGGTGTTGCACAACATTACATGGTTTTAGTAGACACAAAGTGCTTGTGCGCAGTGATAAGGAATTGATAAGCGGGTATTACAATCTATGTTACCAGGACTCGAGTATGGGTGTTGGACACGGACAGGCGTCAAGGTGTCCAATTCGGCAAAGTCCAAAATTTTGGGACTCGGGGACTCGGTCCAAAATTTGGACATGGGTACGGGGACACGTGTATATATATATATATAATATGTATATATATATATATATATATATATATATATATATATATATATATATATATCCAACAAATACAGTACGGGTTTAAATTGTGTTTAAAAAGAAAATTAAATGAAAAATGATATCTGATGGGGCATAGGATAAAAAAGAAAAAAGAAGTTACAATAAAATCAACAGCCTTTAAATGAAAATAAAAAAGAAAATAAAGGCTGTCAAGCATAAAGAGTCACATGAATTAAAAGCTACTTGTGAAACGTTTTCTTTTTCTTGTCTCTCTCTTCGTATCTTCTTCTTCACCTAAAAAACTCCTTACTCTTCAATGTCGTCTCTATCCACCAAAGACCCTATAGTTTTATTACTTTTTACTTCTTCATTTTTGTTTAATTTGGGAATTAGGGTTTCTGCCGAATCCGAGGAGAAGTTGATGAATTGGACACGAATTTCGTGTCCGAATCCCATACGTGTCGTGTCGACGCGCGTTCGACGGCCAAAATGCCGAGTCCGATTAACATAGATTACAATTTGCTTGATCTCCCTTTTATTAATTACTTATTAAATTTCTTGATCACGTGACTTATAAGACTAAATATTTTGAATAGTATGTAATATGATGTAGTTAACCTTAAACAATTATAACTATTTATGTAATACTCCGTATTTTCATACGTATTTTCTAATTAATTAATTAAGAAGTATTTTAAAAAAAAAGGTATTTTGGTAAATTTATTATTTGGAGCCAAAATAATATTTGAATTTTGGCGCCAAAAGCATTTTGAAAACTAATCATTATTTTTGATAAGATTTATTATCCATTTATCCTATTTAAAAACCGGATTATTTATATATTTCGGATATTTTATTTAAGGCAAAAACTATATTTTATTAATTAATTAACATGTCCGAAAATTTCCATTAATTAGCTAGGAATTTCGGATTTCCTATGTGTAGGAAATTTGGTTTTTATTAGTTATTTTGTTGGTGAATAATTGTATTTAGTTAATTAATTATTCTATATTATTTACACAATTATTTTATTCCTTAAAAAGCGAGAAAAATTTTCCTAAATATATTTATAGGAGTCCAAAAATTTGAGCTGTGATAAGCTCAATATTTTTGGCCCTATTGAATTATTTTGGGAGAATTTAATTGGTAAAATTATATTTTTAATTATCTCCCAAAATCTCTTATTTTCCTTAATTCTAATTCTCCATCTTTTTAATATCTAGTCATCATATTTTCTTTCCATTCATTCTTCTTAATTATTCCCCAAGTAATTCCAATTTCCTTAAAATTTTTCATGACATACATACCTTCCATATCCAATTGAACACAATCACCTTAATATTAAAACATTCCTTAATTCTTTTATTCACCTCTCCAAGTAATCCCTTAAAACCTACTTACCATAATTCTTCCCACATTCTCTTGACACAATTCTTGCATGAGCTAGCCTATAAATACCCCTTTATACCTCTCACATTCTTCACACCAATTCTCTTCTTTTCTTCTCCTCAATTTTACACAAATCATCCCGTTTATCTTTGAAGCCAATTTTTGACACTTCTGTTCCGTTTTTGGGGTATTTACGTTTCACAAAAGATTGTTTATCTCAAAAAATCCTTGAGGTTAGGATCAAGAATCACCCAATTCTGAGTTATATAGAAGGAGTTATACGCTCTGCAAGTTCTGCCTATTTTTTCCAACGCAAATCCAATTCTTCTCTTTTCCTTGGTTTCTTATCCTTTCTTATTCTCTTCTCTTATTCAATTATTATCATTATTATTATGGGGGATTTATAAATAATTATTATGAGTATTTTTAATTATATAAAATCAGATTTTTAATGATGTTTATGAGAAATTATTTTAAAAGGTTCATGTACATATAAATGGGGGTTTTTAATTATTTGTTAACCTTATATTAATTAAGGTTATATTTAATTGTAGGGTGTGTTCGCTCAAGATTCTTGAAGTTCTTTTTGTGTGGTTTTTCTAGCAAGGATCAAGGTAAGTTTAGGTGGTTAGATACCTTTGAAAGTGATTGGTTAGAATAACATATTTTACATGATTTGATTGGTGATTGAGTTAAATTGATTTGAATTATGATTTTGAAATAAATTATGTTTGAAGGTATTAATTTTAAAAGTATTTTGAATGATTGGTTTTTAAATCATATTTTGAATGGTTTGGATTACTTATCGTGTTTAAATAAAGGAATTGATTTTAAAAGGTTTGTTGAATTAAATAGAGGTTTTTCAAGGAAGAGTTGTTGATTTTGAAAAGTTATTAATATGAGATTTTATTCTCAAGTATTTATTTACAAGGTTTGATGTTGAAAGCATGTGGAATTAATTAAAAAGGATTTTGAATTATATTGGAATTATTGGATATTAAAAGGATTTATTGAACCATTGAATTATTATTATTAGTGCTTTATAAGCATGTTGGTAATCCCACTATGCGGATTTGGTTTATTGATAAGGCCTTGGACTTTGTATGACCGGGTCTTTCCTCAAGAATACCCTTGTAATATAAGGAGACTAGATTGGGGGATGTGCACACTTGGGTGAGGAATTGGATTAAATGAAATTGGTTCTTAGTAAAGGAATTGGTTTTATTAACTATTATTTTGAATATGAATCATTGGAATCGGTTTTGAAATAATGAGTCTTGAAATTATTGGATTAATTATTGGAATTGATTTTAAAAGCATGTTTGCAAATAAACTGAGTTTACACTATCTTGCACTTATCGTACTTAACATAATTTGCTAATCCGTATTTATTATTTGTTTTGGTTCGCCCTGTTTACCGTTATGGTAAGTAGTGTTGACTGTTTTCAGGTGGAGTCATGAATGAGCATATGGGATTCCCGGGAATTTGCTTCACCTAGTTTAGAAAAGTTGGTCTTGTCTTTATTTTGATTACTCATAACACTGTTACTATTTTTATAAGTATTAATAAAAGAAATTTGAGTTTCCGCTACAAGTTTTGTTGTTGAGTTAAGTATTTTGAGTAGCCTTGCGTAATCACGTGGTGGTAATACGCCCAAGTCTATCTCTACAGTATAATTATACGTATTATACTAGTATTTCCATAAAGGGAGATTTGGAGGTGTTACAATTTATGCTAGATCTTTAAGGACACCCACCCCTATTGTAAAACGTGTACCAGTAAACGATAGATCTATTCGGGGAAGCAATGCAGTTGACAAGAAATGTTTGTTTTACATGTTAAGGTGATAGTTATTCTCATTATCTCATTGTTGTTTCAAAAGGATTAAGTTTAGAATCTTTTGTATAATATGGATGAGTAGGATTACTACTTTAGAAACTTCATTTTGGAGTCTTGATTCAATTTTAATGCTTTAATTCTTTGCAGGTTGCAACTCGATTTTTATTTGCTAGCCCACTTCTCTACTGGTTTGCCTCTTACTTCATGTCTTCTTCTGGAAAGAGTCGGCGATGAGCAAGATTGATATAAACATGTGCTGCCTTGCACGTACTCCTTGGTAGTATGCTTTTTTTAAAAACTTCTATCTATTTCTCAAACTTCCAAAATGTGTATTTTAATGTAAGTTTAGTAGTATTTTGATATAATTTTATGCAAGTTTATTTATATTTTTATGTAAGTTTACTCAACACGGTTAAAGAAAAGTGTTTAAATAGTGGCTAAGTCAAAATGTTCAGCTTTGGAAAAAAAAGAGCAAAGAAGTATTATGTAATTTCTTTTTAGATTTTATTCATCAATTTCTAATTATTTTTTTTTTGACAAAGAGAACAATATAAATTAACGCAGTATTACAACCTAAAAGAACTAAGCAACACACCTAAACAAACCTGCATATGGGGATTTCTACCTACCTTTATAGGAAGAACGAAGAGTACAAAATATTTAAAAAGTCGTGCAGCATACCAATAGCTGCGGAGCCTAAACAACCAAGAGGAACGAACCATATGTGGGTCAAGAGATGCAAAATTAACCGAGATAGTCGAGATGGACCAAAAGTGCATGACATAAGCATCGAAGAAAACCAAAACTGGCACTGACACCTAAGCAAACTCAAGATGGAAGTTGCTAAGAGACAAAAAATCAGAAACTGAATGCACGTTGTTGCTGACGAACGAACCTTTAACACAATTCCACTCCTAGGGGTTTAAAACCAGAGCTGCATCCTAGGAGTCTGGGGAAAAAACCAATAGAGTCATATGCTTTAATGACTCTACCCTGAGAAGCCATGCATCCAAATGAAGGTTCTCTTTTTGCACCTCTACCAAGAGATAATACAAGAAATTGGAGGATTTTGCTTAACCCTAACATTAAAGATAGGTAGCCTCCTACAAGATATCGATTAACAGTGATGACTGACTTTACCATAACCAAAACTAACAAACGGATGATTGCAATTGTATGAATGCCTATATCATCCCATAACCAAGAAACAAGAGCAACAAACAAATCTCTTCCCTCAAGACCACTCTCCTCATGCAAATCCATATGTAGGGAAAACCATCCACCCGCGCAAGTAACTCCATCCCTTGGAAAACTGTGTTAACTACCAGGTGAACATATTCACACCCCGAAAAGGCTACTAGACGGACCACCAACCCAATTAACAAGGGATTGCTTATACTAACAACCCTTAACTCCGACCAACAAGGCTCCAAAGAAAACGGGAACACTTCGTTAACTAAGCAGAGGTAGAGAATTATTTAAAAATAATAGCCAAAACAACAAAACAAGCAAATCAAACCACAATAACATAACTAAACTAAGGCAAAACAAAAACAATAAGAAGAAAACAAGCATGCAAACCTACGAGAGGTAACAGGAAGGCAAAGAACCCAAAAAACTTCATCGGCAGAACCAAACCTTACCACCAAGAACAATTGTCAATGGCAACGCAATAAGAACCCTCACGAATCCTAATTAACCTTGGAAACGCAAGGAAACCCTAGCCTTAACTTCACCTTTACCGTCGGGAAATTAATTAACAAATCCTTTCGACAGCGGCATTAAGAATAGCATTTGGTTCTTGATTTGTTAAGCCACCAAACACCTGATGAGACAACAAAGCCAACGAAACCACCGAAGAAGGCAACGAATTGAAAACCAACTCTACAATTCCCCTGTTTTCTTCACCAAAGACCAACAAAAAAAAAAAAACTAAACAGAAGAAAGAGAAAACTATCGAAAGGGCTGGGCTCGCCAGCGACGGCTAGGCGGAGCGCGCCAGTCGCCGGCTAGTAGGAGACGAGAAAGAGGGAGGCGGTTGAAGTATAGAGATGTGTTTAATATGAAAATCTCTCTATTGTAGTACACTTTAGATTTGCCAAATTTCAGGTTATGGTGATGGATTGAAGAAATAATAGTTCGATGGGTTTGCTTTTAACATATTTAGTTGGACGAATCAATGATTTATGATAATGCATATTTGCATATAAATTATGCTAAGGTATTATTTATATAATTTAGCTTTTTATATTGAATTTTTGTATACATTGCCTTTATTAAGGTAATGTTGTAGACAGTCTAAACACAAGATTTGAAACATATAGATTTGTTTGATGTGAAATTATGATTTTAGGACTACAATTTAGATTTTGGAAATCAAAATTCATACTAGATTACATACCTATTGAGAGTATAGATTTCGAATGAATTTCTAATACGTAGTATATAATAGTATATACAAACTTTTATATTCTTCATATTGCTTTGATCAATTTCTCTTGTTATCAAACGACAATAATTATTACATTATCCTATTAATGTTATCTTAAATGGATATGTTGATTTTTTTTTATTGGTTAATATGAGTTATAGTGTACTCACTTTGTATTTTATTATATGCTCCACATTTCTTTTACGACTGGATGTTATTACTTGATCTATTTCCTTTTGGTATACTTTTCACAATATTTTACTAATTTCTTTTATTATAGTGGACCTTCAACAATCATACTTTAATATTTTCAAATCCTCTTTCGTTCATGTTTATAATTTATATTATTTTTTTTTTACCATTTCTGCTAAAAATTTGTACATGGAGAAATGGAGCGAGTAATTAAATATGGAGGGAGTCATAGTTATTATATTGCTCTATGGATGATACACATGTTATGAGTTTGCAATATTTTAAGCTAGGAGAGAGAGAGAACGCTTAAGAAAATCAAAGAAAGTAGCTTAGGAAAATGTTAGAACACGTAATCTAATTACACTTTCTTAAGCTAGTTTCTTACGGCAAATAAGCTTAGCAGAAAGAGAGCGAAAGACCACTTAACAAAGATAACTTAAGAATATCAGGGGAATTAGATTAGGAAAAAACTAAGTAAATGTTCAAGAGAAAGAGAGAAAGATCACATAAGAATATAAAAGCAATTAGCTTATGAAAATGCTAGACCACTTGATCTAATTACACTTTCTTATGATAATTTCTTAAGATATATCACTTGAGAAAGAGATAGAGAGTTAAGAAAGATTATTGAAATAAAACAGAGGGACCGTTACCACTTAAGAAATATCACTTTAGAAAATTAGAGAAATTAGCTTAAGAAAAAAGTCACTAAATGCAAGAGAAAGAGAGAGAGCAAAAGAGAAAGACGAGAGAGATAAAGACCATTTAAGAAAAATAGGCAATTAAATTAGGAACACACAATTAGCTTAGGATAATAAATGCATACTAAAATTCTGCAGAGAGAGATCACTTAAGAAAATTACTTAAGAAATCAAGGCAATTAACTTAAGAAACTTAGTCCCTTTTTGGTTGAGGGATTTGGATGGAAAAGAAAAAAAAAGAAATGATTTTTAATCATTGTAGGGAATATTTCAAGCGTTATCCCTAGATTGAACCCCACTGTGATCATACACTAAAGTACGGTGGCGTCCAAAGGGAAAGAAGATAGAGCAAAAGAGTCGCCAACAAGTTTTTTAAGGAACTTGTAAACCGTTCACGAGGTGAAGGTTACACCCCTTAACGATCAAGGAGATCGCCAACTCCA